AAAAAAAAAAAAAAAAAAAAAAAAAAAAAAAAAAAAAAAGGAGAGACTCGGTCCCACTGCTCACTGCACCGCGTAAGTATCTTCTCCCCCTCGTGAGTCCCTCCCCTTTTCCAGAATCACTTGCACTGGCTTGTTCTTGAATGAGAAGGAAAGAAAAGAGCCTCCCATTACTCATAGCCGTGTAAACATTTTTTTTTTCCAGGAGAAAATGGTGTTATTTAAATGAATCATAATAAAATAGCCTCTAAACAGTTTCTGAGCAGGAGCCTCAGTGGAACTCAGCGCTCCGCTCCTCCCAGTCAGTTTCTAAGAGTAAGTGATCCGCTTGGCTTTTATTTCTTTCTCTTTCCTGCTGGTGGCTGGGGGTGGTGTTGGCGATGGGGGGGAAGGCTGATGTTGCTGGACTTGTCGCTGATCTTGTCACCTTTTGTGTACTGTTTCTGGGGTGTGAGGAGGCGTTTGCTTCCTCTCCTTCTTTCTCTTGCCCTCTCTTCTCGGGAGAGAGGACCGCGAGGGGGGACCGGCTCGCTTTTTGTTCCTCTTGGTCCCAGCTTTCCGCCAAGCCTCATCCTTCCCATCTCCCCCGGGTTAAAACTCCAGGGCTAGTCCCACGTCCTTTCTCTTTGTCTTGTTTATTATAGCTGCCTTTCTTCCCGGCTCTTCCAATTTGCTTGTCATTTGCATACCTTTCACTTCTCCTTTTTAACCCCAGCAGTGGGCCGGGAGTAGGGAGGACAGGGTGTGGGGGGCGGGGGGCGCTCTATCACTTTCCTCGCAAAACGCTGTCGAAGCCGAAATGTTGAAATCAGGGTTGGAGCGGTGGAGTGATGGGTCCCGGGAAACGAGCACGGCACCCCTCTCCTGAGCTCGGGGACCCAGGACTGGGTCCAGTGGAGTAGGGTAAGGCAGCACCGGGAGCCTCGGGGGCGAGTGTGGTGCAGGGATCAGGGCCCAAGCGTCGCAGAGGACCGAAGGGTCGAGCTTCGGGTGGGGGTAGGGATGTTCTTGGGCAGTAGACACCGGAGGCGAAGAATCTCCCAGCCTTCG